AGGACCAGGGAAGGGCTGTGTCCCGCACACCGAGGGACTGGAAAGGGAGGTGTGTGCCGCCACGGGCTCCTGGGTTTGACTCCCAGGGCGGCGATCTGTGCCTCCAGATCGGTGTGCTTTAGAGTCATCTGCACTGTACAGCCCTGAGTGTGTGTGAGGCCAGGGCTCGGCCTCCGTACTGTGGCCCCCTTCTTACCTATAGATTGACTAGTACTAAAATTGAACAATATAAACCATATATTGTAATAAAAGATATGTCAACTGTGATCTCTCTCTAACTGTCTGAAAACAGGAGATACATGGAACAGAAGAGAGGATGCAGAAAGAACAGAAGGTACTTTCAGTTGTATGATCTTTGACAAGGGCCAAAAACATATGCTGGAGGAAACTAGGCACGGTGGTGATGCCTGTAATCCCAGCATTGGTGAGGCTGAGGCAGGAGGATCGCTGTGAGCTCGAGGCCAGCCTTGACTCCATGATGAGTTTAAGGCCAGCCTCAACCTGAACTACAAAATGAGATGTGCACATGAGTCTTGACCCATATATTTTACCATGTGCTGAGACAAAATCAATATGGGCCACAGATCTAAATGTAACAGAAACACTTCATGTGCTGGAAGATAAAACAGGTAAAACTCTTCAAAACATAGATGCAGGCAGGGATAATTTTAAAACAACCTCAATTGCACAAGAGATAACGAGGATAATCAGCTAATGAGATCACATCCAGGTAAAAGGCTTCTGCACAGCAAAGGAAGGTAATGAAGAGAGTGAAGTGACAGACTGTGGAAGGGAAAATGTTCGCAGCTCTTCTGGGGACAGGGGTCTGACATCAGGTGTAAAGAATCAAAAGAATTAGACCCCAGGGCCAGAGATTTAGCTCAGCACTTCGGTGGCTGGCCTTGCAAGTACAAGGACCCCAGTTCAATCCCCGGTACCAAAAAATAAGCAAATAAATAAAACAAAAAAGCCCTTACATATGAATGAAATGCATCAACTACGCCTATGGAAAAGTGGTCATATAGAATCATAGCCCAAAGTGAGTAACACTGAGCTTGAATTAGAAAAATTAAGATTCTAAATAAATTCCTAGAGAGTGTTACAATCAAGGGGGTCAATGGAAATTTTTCTCTACATTCAAGCTGATCATTAACAGACTACTAACTCTGAATTGGAAAGATAAGGTGAGAACAGCAGAGCTACACTTTTCCTATGCACAGTAACACACACTGTCCACCCCAACCCTACAATTTTTTAAAATTTGGAAATGAAAAGAATCCAAATATACACAGCCACTACCACCAGAAAGGTGTGAGACAGAAAAGAATAGCAAGTTGAATCAAAGATCTAACTCACCTGTCCTGCTTCCTTGTCCACACCTCTGCCCGCACACGCGCACCCACCCGCACTCACACCCGCAGTTCCTGCCCCTCAGTGGCTGCTCAGAGACTCCGGTCTTTATTCCGGGTCTCAGGCCAGGCGCTGCCCCGTGAGCTCTCACCCTGAGGTCAGGGCCCCCTGGGCTTTTCTCACAGGCGCTGCCTCCCTCCCTGCTCCCTCCCAGGCAGCCTTCTGCCCTGCACAGAGCACCTTCATTTCCCCGTGTAGGAAAACATTTCGAGTCGATGGATCCTGTTTCCCAAGTGTTAATCTACATTAGACTCTCCCTATGTGTCTTTAAGCTTGCACTGGAGCCAGGGCTTGGATGACCAGAGCTCCAGGCAGAGAGGGGTGGGTGAGCAGAGCAGGCAATGAGTGATCTAGGATGAGAAGTATGGGATCCCTCCCGTGCTAATCCTGGAATGCAGAATCGGAGTTAAAAGATTGACAAAAGACAGAAAGACAGGCGTGGAAACAGCTCTAAAAGGACAGAGGAGAAAAACCAAAGAGGAGGGAGGATCTCATGTGTGGATCAGTCACTTAGGCTTCTGGGGACAGTGACAGCATGAACACCTGGCACATTCAGAGACAGGGACACACGAAGGAGAAGGAAATCAGACCCCTGGGAGAGCCGGGCCAACACCATGCCCTGTGGAAACCAAGAACCAGGAAATAAACACGGAGAGTGGGGGTGAGGCCACAGCCAGGCTGACCAGGGCACAGGAAGCCAGCGCTGTCCATGGTCTGGGACACAGAACAAGGTCCTGCAGGTGTCCAAGTCCCCAGGTCACACAGGGACAAGGCTCTGCTGGAGGGACAGGACGGGAGCAGAGATGACCCCGCAGAGGGACCAGGTCAGAGCCCAGCCAGCACCGAACACCAACCTTGGCTCCTCACAGCCTTCCGTCCCCACCTCAGAGACTCAGCACAGCACAGTGAGGGAGGTTCTCAGAGCTCCCTCTGCCTCTGCCCCAACTGTAGGAACCACCTGTAATTAACCAGCAGCCCTTCTGTCAGGAATCTGAGGAGCACAAGTTTACATTCAGTCTTCCTTTCCATGTGCGTGTGGATTTCCAAGAGAAGCTAAAAGAAACGTCGGCCTCTGAGCTGAGACAGTGTCACCGGTGCAAGCATGACTCGGACAAGGCCAGCGTGGGCGGTGCATGAGTTTATTAGGGTCGCGCACAGAGCAGGGGGATGTGGGGATCTCAGAAGTGCTGAGGTCACCAACCCCAGTGCTCAGCAAATGGTTTTAGGGCTTTAATTAAAACAAGGGTGGGATAAAGCAGGAAGCGTCCTGGAAAAAGCTGTGTCTGCTCCACTCCATTTGTATCTTCATCAAGAAACTCTGCTGTCTTCGTGAAGCAATGGGGGCAGGGGCTTGGGCTGCAGCCTGGCACAGCCTCAGCTCTCGGGGCCCAGCAGTAGCTGGAGATACAGCCGGGCCTGGCTGTGCTGGCCTGTGAGCCAGGTGGGAGGCTGAAACAGGAGGATCACTGAGAGTCCAAGGCCAGCCTCGGTACATAGTGAGCTCAAGGCCACCTCAACTGCATAGTGAGACCCAGTATCAAAGAAGAAAACAAACAACAAAGATGGTGTTACTTTGGTCTCATTTTGGAGAACAATTCTCACTACAGCAGGAAAGTAAGAAGCAGCTTAGGGCACCTGATGCTGACACAGGGAGGGAGGTCAGCCCTGCCTGTGCGGAAACAGGAGAGTTGGGCAGGAAGGGAACCCGGGTCACTGTGGGGACAGGGGGAGCTGATCTCGCCTGATCCCCCATTGGGCCAGCAGGAATGGGGACACGGCCAGAGCCATCTGCAGACACAGCACCCAGGGGTTCTCGGGGGACACAGATCTTGTCCCTCAGCCCCAAACCCGCAGCTCTCTGTGCCCCACACAGAAGAGCCACAAGCGCACTCAGGGGAGGCCGTGCACAGGGCAGAGCCTGAGCACCCTGCTGCCCCCTCCAGGGCTCACACTCAGTGTGTGTGACTGGGCCTGGCCCCGTCTCCCTCTCCCACTGGGGCTCAGGCCTCACCTGCTCACGTCATGAGAGATGAATCCGAGCCCTGGGTGTAGTCAGTTCCTGTGGTAGGAAACACAGCCAGACACAGTCAGAGCCCACAGACCCTCGGCTGAAGGAGGGACCGTGGGGTGGGCCTCCCCATGCTCCTGACTGCAGCACCCCAGGCCCTCAGCATCACCCCCACACTCACCTGCAGCCGGAGTGTAGCTCGCTCCTTTCCCACCTGA